CAAACGGATAACGAAGTGATCTTATATTTAAGGGCTCCTTTTTTCTTGTGAAGTACGGAACCCTAAAAACAGTTTTTCAGTACGAAAACTATTTTTTATCGAAATGAATAGTAAAAGAGGGACAGTTTAATTCTGCCATTGCAAGAAACTGTCCAATTTCTTTTATCTAATCTCTACTTTGGCATTCATATATTTATTGACTAATCAAGTAGGAATCTATTAAGGTTATTTTTGCTTTGGCTGGCGCCGACTCCAAAGATAATGCACTTTGCTTTGAGGTAATTAAAATATTATTTTCTTCTCTTTAGTTTAGGTTTCTACATGTAGGCGTACTCTTGAAGTCGGTTTTTATTATTTTTTTGTTTTTAAATAAACTTTATTTTTCAATTTTCGCGTGTAGATATCTTTTTTGTTAATTTCTTCAAAAAGTACAGAATCAATTTCGATAAAATTTATATGGGACTGCCTCTGAAGTATGAACCATTAAACAAAAAGAGAATCATCAAAATCAATTCATAATTGGCGAAGTAATCGCGTAACAAACATACAGTCGAATTGATGAAAAAATCTCCTGGTTTGAAGTCGGTTAAAAAGAAAATTACTTTTATGCTCGCGAACTGTTAATTTGGAGATTTGAAAGAATAAATTAATAGAGGTGTATGTTTGGAGGACGGCTGAAGCTTTTAGAAATATTAGAAGCAGATACAGGATTTAAGAGTGGCGCAGGAAAATCTAGAACTAGATTAGATTGTTGTTTGCAAATAGTTAAGGATGTGGGACGTCCTAGTTTTCTCTCATTTGTAAAAACTATAGTCTTGAAGGTAATATATTTTGTTTGTTATTTTATCTTCATAATTGGACGTCTGTAATATCACAACCCCCCGTTTTTAGGGTTCCCTACCCAATGTGTATTACTAAGACTCCGCTGTCTGTTCCTCCGTCCATCTGTCCGTCTATCACCAGGCTGTATCTCATGAACCGCGATACTTAGACGGTTGAAAATTTTTTACAGATGATGTATTTCTGTTGCCGCTATAACAACAATTACTAAAAACAGAACAAAATAAATATTGAAGGGGGCTCCCATACAACAAACGTAATTTTTTTGCTCGTTTTTACCCGATATCGATAACGGCAACAGGTGGACCCTTGAAAGATTCACAGAATATTGAGTTATATTATTTACTTTATAGATAACCAGCGACCCGCCCTAGCTTCGCACGGGTGCAATGCTGATGCTAAATATATTTTTGTTTTGTTTAGATTATTATCGAGAGGGGAAATCATAAATAGACAACCCCTCAACACATTAAATATACTACAGAATGTCTTTATATACAACATTCACAATTTTTTGTCATTAGACAATACAAACCGGCCTCTCGGTCGGTACCGCCGCAACCGCTATGTTTGCATTTTAAATCTGTAATATCTTCGAAAATATTCATTTAAATTACATGCTGTAAAGGGCCATATTGATCTATATTAATGCACAATGTATTTAGGGTACTTAATTGGATAAGAATTAATGCCGTGTTGCTTAAAATCGTTTCGTAAATAAGTCATTATTTCTCATAAAAAGTAAAGGATAAAAAATGGTTATTGTGGGTTATCCCTAAGAGATAGACATATACCATCGCGGACTTTTTTGTAGATGTACAATACTTTAGTACATTATGTTGATCTATCTCGTAGGGTTCAAAACATCACATTGAAAACTTCTAAAATTATCAGTTTCTCTACTATATCATGCATGTATTATAGATATAAATCTTCCTCTTGAATCACTCTATCCACTAAAAAGAACCGCATAAAAAGCCGTTATGTAGATTTAAAGATCTAAGCATACATAGGGACAGACAGCGGGAAGCCACTTTGTTTTATACTATATAGTGATGGTACCTACGGAACCCTTCGTGTGCGAGTCGGTTTTATTAATAATTTTATGACAGGTCCTTTATTCTTATTTCATTTTTTACTGTAAAAGAAAGATTCTATCAAAATGTATAGTGTGAGAAATTTTTGCCAATTGTGAACACCAATGTCAATAAAATTAATTGAATATCTTTGCATGTACAAAAGGCAACAACTTACAATTAGTTAGTCAATATTATAATAATATGAATTAGATTGTTGATGTTAATTTACGACATAATGTTTAATAGAGACATTTATTATGTGCCATTTATTATAGCCTGCTACTCGGCACTAATTGAATTAATATTCATGTTTATGATAATTTGTGTAGTTTAGATTGCCATGTCACGCTCGTTGCATTTTTAGGAAACTAATTGGTAAGTTGCTGTTTATGCATTCGAATGAATTAAAAAAAAAAAAAGAACTGATCAATAAAGCAATTACGTAATAAGTTCTTATACATACATGTTTATTACATGCGTGAAAAAACAAACTTGCAGAATTGTAGAGGAACAATCGAAAGGTAAATTTAGATTTTATTTAAATCGGTTTCAGTAAAAACAGATCAAGGGTCCTAAAAAGTGTGAATATAGTATTCAAGTCGGTAAGCTATTTTTATACGTTTAGTCACATGTTTGTGTATAATTGTTGCTGAGGTAATTTTATATAACAGATTTGGTATTGTGGTTCTTATTGTGTGTCATTATTGAGAATAAAATTTTAGTAGGGAACAGAATTTACGCGCACAAATCTAACAAAAATTTAACAGTATGAAGATAATGGCTGCGAGTTAGTGAGGATCTGGTTGTAGTTCGAATTCGGGATCAGTTAGTCCAGATGAATTAGTTGAAAAATTGCCATTTTTTTTAAAAAGTTTGGAATAGATCTGATTTTTGCAAATTAATAAAAAATTATGTACTTCATTAATAAACTTTTACTCACGCTGACAATTGTGAGGAACTTTGTTTATAAACAACAAGTTTTTCCGTTTTTCATCTGTAACTTGTTATAAATAATTTAATCGAAAAAAAATTACATGAGAATGCAGTTAAGAATCACTTTTTCGATAAGGGTAAGTGAAAAATTTTCTTCAGAAAATGAAGATTTATCGAGAAAAGGCGACTGCTTTCGTGTCCACTTTTTTAAGATAGAAATCCAGCTAAAATTTTATCCCGATGGAATAGGTGAGCAACAATTAATTTGTTAATAAAAAATTTATTCATTTCGTAATCCTACCAAATACTAATTATTGATCCGTTATGATCTGTGCTCATAGAAAATGTGTAATACATTTTCATAATCTTTTTATAAAATTGTTAGAAATTAAAAAACTTAATTTGGGATCAGTAAAAGTATCTTGGCTAAAAATCGAGTTTACAAACAAATAACCAAATTAACGTTAAATAAATAATTAAAGAACATAATTTTAATGATAAGATAAGTTGAGATTTACTTCATACGTATTTTCTCTAATTAGTATTTGGTAGTATTACTAAATTAATAAATTTGTTTATTAACAAATTAATTGTTACTCACCTATTTATTCAATCGGGATAAAATTTTAGCAAGATTAATAACTATAAAAAAGGTCTGTTTTCCTAAAATTCGAATTCAATAACAGCCGGATTTCTATAATAAAAGTGGACTCGAAAGAAATCGCTTTTTCTCGATGAATATTCTTTTATTGCAGAAAATACATCAGTTTGAATAATTGGACCCCCTAACTTTTATCAAAAAACTGACTCTAAAACATGTTCTCATTGAACTGTTTTCGATTAAAACATCAATAAAAAAAAAATATAGATGAAAAACGAAAAAAATCTTGAAAAATGACCGTTAGTGTTATTTATTCGCCGACTAGCCGCGGATGCCTTTCTTCATGTGCGCCGTATTTGTAAATGTGTGTGTCGTACCTGCGTTCTGGGAAAGCAGTTAAACAGTTCAAAGAAAAAATAAACTATTCGGATGTTTCCAGAAGGTTCCAGAAAGTACACAAAAGAGTATTTAAAGGAAGTGACGATCGCTGAGATGAGGAGAAATAAATTGACCGTTGCAGAAGTGAATCCAGAAATAAATTGACAGTGATAGCAGTGAAATAAATAGCGCAGTGAACAGTAGTGTAAATAAATAGTTTTTGTCGTTATCAGTCTTAGAAGTTAATTTTGTTAAACCGGCGAACATTATATCTTTAAACAAGCGTCTTGTTTTCCTAAATTCCTGAGAATGTTGAACATTCTTTAAAGTCCGATGCTGGCTGTCTGCATCTCTTTTTGTTACACATTAATTGGTGTAATGTTATTCCCTTTTATTTATTAGTACTCGCTGCAATTCCTACTTGACGTTATTCTCTATAACGTCTGTCGTGAGTAAAAGTAGGCGTTATGCCAATAACCGCTCGAGTCTAGTTAGTGAGTTGAAAGAAGAAAGTAAATGCGACAGTTTTATTGCGTGCTATGCCAATTTTGAACGACCCAACTATACCTGACTGAATTCGTCATGAACAAAATCTATTAAATGTTAAATAAAGAAGACGTTTTGTTTATATTGAATGACAATGAATTGTTTGTTGTACGATTTGTATAATTAATTGCATTATGTACGTAAAGCACCATTTTTCTTTAAATTGATAACGAGAATAAAATCTGCTTTCTTGATAACCTTTGATCGGCGTTTTTCTTGGAGTTAAGCGACAAAAATATTGAAAGTGGTTCGAAACTACTATCTTATTAAGTTCTGACGTTTGCGCTATGTCGATAATGTTTGCGACATCGCCCTTAAATCAAGCGATAAAAGACGTCTTCTGTTCTTAGTTTTTACAATTAATTTAAAACCTCTAGTTAGTCAACTTATTCCACATTATAAATAAATGAGTAAACTGAATTTATGAGGCGTTTTTTAAGAAAAGTTCGGTTAGTTAAGCGTGCTAGCCACAGGATGGTTGTGAACCTTGAAACTCAACTACCTTTGGGTGAATACTTTCATTTTTTTGTGTGTTACCGACCCACCTTGTTGTTGCTTACGTGCTATCTATTATTAGTAAAAGATAAAGTGAAGTGAAATAGATATTGTTTTGTTTGTTGCAGATTGGTGCAAGTTTCCAAAAATGAAGTGCGCCTGTTCTCAATCGCCGGGATATAAACGGCTTGAGGAACGTATCCTGGAGTACGACGCCACCATTTCCGAAGATAAAGATTCCTCCAATGAGAAAGAGGTACGTCTTTATGTAGACCGTAATTGGTTTTTCTCTAAGCATTATTTCGTTTGTAGTTTGGAAGTTAATTTACAATACTTCGAATTGTTCTCTTAATAAAAGAAAATAAAGTTGATGTTTCGGTCAGTAGGGTCGTATTAGGGTTCTGTACCAAAAGAAATTTAGAGGAACCCCTTGATGACATATCGATGCTCGTCTGCGCATGTCAGGGTTGACTATATCAACGAAAAAATTATGCTATCGGCTTTTGTTTGACACAGTTGTTAATCATGCTTGTCCGTATCTGTTCTAGATGAAGAAATATTAATGATATTTATATCAATAGGAGAACAAAACGGGTCGTCAAAATTTAAAAGTGGCTTACCAAAGTTATATTTAAAACCCCTTTTCGACCATTACTTTACATTTCCGAGTAAAAATTATTCTTTTCAATTTTGCTCTACCGAATTACGATCAAACTAGCTCCATAAATTTCTCTAACAGGTCCGTTTGCAGGACTAAACCGCCGATTGTGTACGAATGGAGTACTGAAACAGTATCGCATTTAGTACGAAAAGAACACGGATACAGTACCGATTGCTTTCTGAAAAACTACTGAAATACCACCGAAAGAGCGACGCATTTATACTAAAAAAGGGCCGAAACAGCACTAAAGGGATACTAAAATTTTTGATTTTGTATGTGATGCTGTTTTGGTGCTATTATAGTATGTTTTTTTGGCGAGGCGCCGTTTGAGGGCTCTTTCGAATCTTTTTTAATGTGGTGCTAGTTTGGAGCTGTCTTAGAGTTTTAAAGGTAGTGTTTTGGCTATAATTTTAGAATTTAAATTTCGTCTAATTTGTAGGTACTATTTTGGTGGTAATTTAGGTCATTTCAAATATTTGGAGACGATTCGGTGGTGTTATAATTCTTTTTATTTCTACTTGGTTACTGTTAGGGGAATTTTGCCATTAAATGTGTGTAAAATATTTTTTATCTTTTATACTTTCATCGATTGTGTGCATAATAATACATGGTTGATATGTTTCTTATCGTAGGTGCAATACTTTTCGACAGCGTTTTCTACGTATTAAGATCGATTCTCACTATAGATTCCGTTTCTATGCCATATTTATTCCGCAAATGCTTCATACAATTTGATAATATTCACACTTGAACTTAGCGTTTTGATCTGTATCAGTAGACTTCTAGAAGCAGGTAATATCACATTACAAATGTGAAACTGATTGCAAGTATGTAGAGTCTGAGAAAAATTCAATGATTGCCGCTATTATTCTGGATGAGGAAAATCATTTGTAAAAGAACTGAAAGTATCTCTTTGGATATTCCCACTAGCCACATCTTTCCGTCACATATCCAAAATACTATACGGAACTTTTTACGGTGTGGATACGGAATGGAAATTGATTGTATAGTGAGAATCGATCTTTATATCTGGAGAGATGTTGTTTATTCACTTTAGATAGACGCAATATTAAATGTGACATTCGTTAACGCGAATAGATGGATAGTGTAAACAACTGTTGTTTTTTCGTTTTAAACTAATATCTACTGTTTGTCTCCTTTGCAATTTTTTGAATATTATTTTAATTTTTAATACTATTAAGCTTTAAACTTGATTCTCTGCAAGGGTTATGAAAAGTCATAAAAATATGTACTCATAATCAAATGCTGGAATGTTTTCGTGAAAATCTTGCTTGTTGCTACAATGNGTATGTACGTACGTTCGTATGTCAGCATTTTTTTCGTTTTCGATATCTCAAGAACGGATTGAGATATCGCCCTCAACCAAAATTTTTTCGAAAGATATTATCATAATGAAGATCTGAAAGAAATTTGAACGAAATCGGTCAAGCCGTTTTTTTTTTATAAAAAAAAAACGAATTAATTACAAACAATTTAATTAAAATACGTTCTAATCTAATCACAACAATGAAGTTACGGAATCAATAATAACTGTATTATCTAATGGGAAGTTAGTCGTATTAGCACCGACCAAAGCGTGCTCAGACCAATTTTTTTAATTTTTAATACTATTAAGCTTTAAACTTGATTCTCTGCAAGGGTTATGAAAAGTCATAAAAATATGTACTCATAATCAAATGCTGGAATGTTTTCGTGAAAATCTTGCTTGTTGCTACAATGCTAAGACAGTATTTATATTTGGTATATCCAGCCATTCTCAGTACAGCGCAGTACAGTTACTAAAATTGGAAATATCTAGAACTACAGTTTATCTTTTATTTTGGGTGAGGTAGAGGGAAGTCTAAAGGTCAGTAAATATCTCAAATATAATAATCAAAAATTTTACGCTTTCACATTTTTAACAGCAACATGTTTTGCTTATTAGAAAATTTAGAAATTAAAAGAGCGCCCTGTTATAGTGTTAATTTACGTTTAGTTAATATTAACAACCACTTAAAACTTTAGAGATTCCCAATTTATTCTACATAAATTTTATTCCTTTAGATCTCCCTCTATAATACGGTATAAATTATAGTTTCACATATTTTCAATTTTGCTAACGCCATAATGTACTACTGAGAATATTGTCAAAGCAATAAACTTTTGGGAAAAACGCTACTCCAGTTGAAATGAAGCTTTTAGTAGGTGCATTTATAAGATTGTTATTTATTTTACACTATAACACCAACTAAACACTTAAACTATTTCTTTTCACACAAAATTTATAATGCTTATGTACCTACTCCTCGTCACTGTATCTATATCACTCGGTATTCGCACTGTTTATTTATATTGTTGATCCGGCTGTCATTCAGAGGCCTATTTATATTGCTGACGAATTCTTAGGAACAGTGTTCATTCTTCTCGAAAATTTTAGAACTCCTATTGTTAAGCGGCAAATATGTGCCACTCAAGGTATGATATATTTTTTATTGCACTCGACGTCTAATGCCGGTCCCTGTCTGCGGGCATACTCGAGAACTGTCAGAAATCAATGTATTCTTACGTACATCTTTGTATGTAACATGATGCATGATTGCATTTTAAATAATTTTACAATTATTTCACCGGGAATCATTATGAGTTAATTATTCTTTCAAAGGTGGCTCTTAATTATAACTATGTAATTACAAGTAATGAACGATAAATCGACAAATTTCAACCTTGAGGTGCACGCGACGAAGCTTCCAGTATGACGAATAAAATCTAAAAAAATATACGTGCTTAAAAATATCATTTGCTGTTAGAGCAATCTAGACGCGATAAGTTACAAAATTTAATTTGTTTAAACAAAAAGCAACTTCCCCGGATTTGATAAAATTTCTTTCGGACCATATTGACCTTTCACATGCCTTGATAATATTTATTTTGTATTTTCTTGTTTACTTTATTCCTTTATCGAATCCTACAAATTTTTGTTTTTCGAGTCTTCACTTTCTAACAGATTTATTTTTTTTTGTGTTCTTCTGGGTTTATGCTATTAAATCTTTATTCTGTTTCTCTATTTCCCACTCAAAAATTTTCAAGTGGTCACTAAAGGCCCGGACATTAGTTCACATTGATAATTGTTAAGCCTCAATGCTCGCTTAATCTTTATTAGACCTTTAGTAGCAATTAACCTTCCGCGTTCCACTTTTCAGATGTTGTAAAATGTAATTTATATCAAATAAACTTCAGCAAGTATATGTAAATTCTGTTTATTGTGTCGTGCCTAATCTAAACCATCCAAACATTTGGAACCACTTTTGACTTCCTTGTAATACCATCCGTCTATTCTCTTAGCCTAATTGTCTCCTTTACAGCATCATATTATAGGGTTGTTCGGAAAGTCATTTCGTTTTCTTTTTTTGTGGAAATGAAAGACAGTTTTCGTATAATAAACAAATACTTTATTAAATTATATATTGACCGTTCTGGTCCAACACCTTTTGCCATCTTTCTGGTAGTAGCATAATTCCACGCTCATAAAATTTTTGGTCTTTGCTGGCAAAAAACTGATCGAGGAGGTTTTTGACCTCCTCATTTGAGGTGAAGGTTTTACCGTCTAAAAAATTTTGGAGTGACCGGAACAAATAATAATCCGATGGTGCCAGGTCTGGAGAATATGGTGGGTGTAGCATTGTATCCCATTCAAGCTGTAAAAGCTTTTGGCGAGTGACCAAACTTGTGTGAGGTCTCGCGTTGTCTTGGTGAAACACTACACCTTTCCTGTTGATTAGTTCTGACCTTTTCTGTTGAAGTGCATCATTCAGTTTGTCCAGCTGATGACAGTAGACTTCCGAATTAATCGTTGTGTTATCCGGTAAAAGCTCAAAAAAAACGATTCCTTTAAAATCCCACCAAACAGACAGCATCACCTTTTTTTGGTGAATATCGGCTTTGGAAATGGTTTGAGCCGGTTCATCTTTTTTGCTCCATGACCTCTTGCGTTTGACGTTGTTGTATACAACCCATTTTTCGTCCCCAGTGATGATGCGCTTCAAAAACGGATCATTTTCGTGACGTTTGAGAAGCGAATCGCAGACGTCAATGCGGCGACACAGATTTCTCTCTGTGAGAACATGGGGAACCCATACATCGAGCTTCGAGGATAATCCCAGGCCTTTCAAGTGGTCATAAACTGTTGAATTTGATAAATTTAACCTCAATCCGATCTCACGTGTTGTTATTCGCCGGTTCACATCAACTAATGCCTTTATCGCGTCTTTATCAGCTTCAACCGGCCTTCCCGAACGTGGTGCATCTTCGACATCAAAATTGCCGGATCGAAATTTAGCGAACCAGTTCTGGCACTGGCGTACTGTCAACACACCTTCTCCATACACATCAGTCAATTTCTTTCTGGCTTGAACAGCATTTTTACCCTTTCTGTAGTAAAACAGTAAGATATGTCGAAAATGCTGCTTATCGCTCTCCATATTTAAAAGGGCACCAACCAAAAACTACTGCGTAGAATTAATTGGAATTTTTCACACACAAGCCTTGCTATATGAGCTCTCAAAGCATATAAAAATTATACGGCTTAAATGTGAAGT